CCCTAACGTAATTTTGAGGGTAGGAGTTGAAACAATTTATGTCCAGGATATGAGGGGTCTGTAGATATTTTCACAGCCCTCTTTTTAACTCATGCAGTATACAGATCCTCAATGGAAGGCAGGTTGGTAGCAATTGCTTTTTCTGCAGTTCTAATTATCCGTTGTCTGTTATACAGAGTCTTAGAATACAGTATAATTGCGGCTTATAAAGGATCTTAGTATAATATAATTGCTGCTTAAAACCTGTTGTGCTGTATGGAGTCATGTCTGTTTCAGCTAACTGTGTTTGGATTTTTACAGGTTTTTTCTTTCAGAATTTCCAGATTTTTTGGCTTTCTAAGGAGGGCTTTAAGGGTGCCTTGAAGCCATGCCCTTCTCAACCCAGCCTGAAACAGGCAAAGAGCAGAATGTTCTGGTAGCAACTCTTGATAATGTCAGAAACCTCTCCAATATTTTGAAAGCCATTCATTTCAAAGACCACGCTACTTCCTTCGCTACATCAAATGGACTCAAAGTCACGGTGGAAAATGCAAAGTCTTTGCAAGCCAACGCCTTTATTCAGGTTAGACCATAGGATGTCTTTTCTGCCGCCTTATGAGGAATTTTAGTTCGACTAAAAAAATCAGGCGAATGTGTGTGACAGCCAATATAAGACTTCCAAAAGAAATGATGTGTTCTAATAAATGAAAACAATTGTGCTGTAATATCAGCATATTTATTTCCAGCAGAGGGAACTCTTTAAGCCCCTTTGTGATAGTTGAGTCATCTAGTCTGGTGTAATGTTATCCCAGAAGTATTTCTTGATACACATTTAATAATAAATATTGTAATTTAAAATAGATTTTGTATTTATGGAAGAGAAGGTATTTTGAAAATAAAGAAATGGTTGTTCCAGCCCTGCTGTGTAGAGTAGGGTTTCTACTAGACTTTTTTTTAAATAATCCCAGCCTTTCCCTTGTGTCTGTTATTGCAAATTATCAGATCCATGTGCTGTTTTGTAAAACACTTTTCTTCTTGAACTATCTCTTGCTAAAAACCACCGGATTGCATTATATTACTTGGCCTTATAGTTTCTGAATTTGTTAATTTACAGGCCGGAATTTTCCAAGAATTTGTAGTGCAGGAAGAATCTGTGATGTTCAGAATCAATCTGTCTGTGCTTTTGGACTGTTTGACCATCTTTGGAACAAATTCTTTGCCAGGTATTGCGTGAATTTATGTTGACAACTTGTTCCTTATGATATCCTGAGTTGTGAATTGAATTAAAGATGTATTCTGACCCAGGCTTCCCAAGAGCATGAAGCAAACTCCTTGTCCCAACAAAAACCTCTTTTATTAATTGANGAGGAGCCTGGCGAGAAGAATTAGGAGGGCCTCGCTGTGCACCATTGTTACTTATATCACTACCAAATTCTCACCAGCTAGCCATACCCTTACTGGGATTTGAACTTGGGCTATTTTACATACACAAGCTCTCATCAGCTGAGCCAGGGGAATGATTAGATGTTTTTGTCAAGGCACCTGGTGTGCCCAAATATGGGAGCATACTGATTCCCTTTTACCAGGTGCCTTGACAAAAACATTTAATCATTCCCTTGACTCAGCTGATAAGGGAGGAGAGCTTATGGCTTGGAGGTTAATATAACTGTCTAACATGTAAAATAGCCCAAGTTCAAATCCCAGTAAGGGTATGGCTAGCTGATGAGAGCTAAATAGCTTGAAATAGATCTACACTAGTCTCCCTTCATTTATTTATCAGCAAAAAATGCAATACAAAATGGTTTCGGCCTGGAAGGCTCCTAGGGTGGAGCTGAAAGGCAAAAGGGATATTTGGGCATACCAGATGCCTTGACAAACACACACACATATCAAAGCTAATCTAGTGAAAGAAAAAAATAACTTGGAAAAAAATAACCATTTAACCTCTTCTGGGTTGGAACTCAATGGTCCTGTTCTTTTTCAGAGGTCAAAACTTCAGAGAGTTCCTGTCACTATTACTGATTCATGCTCATAAACAAAGCGGGAACTAACCTGATAATTTCGAAACCAGATCCTCTCATCTGCGATGGAGAAGGCGAAAACGTGGTCTACAAAAGGCTGACTCCTGGGATGATACTGTGGAGTACTAAAGATCTAGTCAAGAGAAATGAGAGCGCTGAGTGATCAATACAATCACAGTCTAGATGGTTATCACAAAGGTCACGCATTCCATTTGTCTGGTCGATTTGTTGCTATTAAAATAGTTCGAGCACACAAATTGTTTATCACCCAAAGTCAGGCTATAATTATTTTTCCTGTTTTTATAATACAAAGACTGTCTACTTTCTGAATATTTGTTAAAGGCAAGGCCAACTGTCCATATCTGTCCAGGCTATTCTTGGTTTCTACAGAGCATGATATCAATTTCTTTACATAATGGAGACACTGAAGAAATGACAGCACATGTTCACAGAAGTGGAGGTAGAATACGGAAAATCAAACCTCAGCTTAATTCTTCAGGTCTTACTGTTGTATTTCCTTATGGACAAAGTTTTACATAGACTAATATTAATGTATAATGTGCAGTTCCTACTGAAGTAGGAGTGCAACCTATGCTTACTACAAGTCTAATAAAACCTTGTTCCTCAAATATGTACATCAAATCCCAATCAAAAGATTCCAAATCTGGTGCAACACATCATTACAAATGGAAGGCTGCCTCTTAGGAATAATTAAATATATACAGACCTGAATAAATAGCTCTTTCAGCAAAGCATAATGTGGTTTCTGGTCAAAAACCTGTGAAAGAAACAATAAAGTTTAGGAATATGCGAAAAAGCATGAGAATTATAGACCATGAAGGAGAGTAATCCCATAACTGTAAGTTTATTCTTACTGGATCAAAAGAAAGAACAGGTCGAGAGCCTCTCAAACAGTTTCCAGTCATCTTCAACTCAGCCAAAGTGTGAACTGTAATGATATTAAGTACAATTAAGAATGTACTGTCTGCTATGTGGGGAAGAAGTTGCTTAAAAGAACAGAACAGTATAGCAGCTGATCAGTATACTAATTTTTGCAAATGCCCAACGCAATTACCACAAGCATATTTTTTTGTGGATTGTTTGGAAGCAGTTAAAATATGATTGTATTAAAAATATTTCACACAGTAGGTAGCTGTACTTACTGTTCTGGACTAAAAACTTGGCTGATGGTCCATGGGGGACATTTGAAAGCCTAAAACAGTTATGGAAGATGGTCAGAAACAATATTAGCATTTCTTTGGTAATTGCATTTCCTTAGTAATTGGCCCACGGTATAATGTTTTGAATGTATGAAGTAGACAATACTTTTGACAAGAGATGCCTGAAAGTGCCCCAAATATATATACTAAAAGCTTTTGAAGTTTTGCCATTGTTTTCAAATTGCCACTACAACAGTGATGTTTTGGCTTATTTTTGGAGTAGGAACATCCAAACCTCTAGGCAGGGGTGGGAAACTAAGGCAACTTTTCAAACTGTGGGCTTCAATTTCCAGAATTCCAAAATTAGCATGGCAGTTAAAGTGCATAGGTCACAGTGTCTAGATATCAGTAATTGGAATATATAGGCAGATGTTTTCCTCACCAAATGTAAAGATCTTGTTTCTTTTTGGCTTCAAAAAATATGCACTTATTGCAATTCTTCATTTCACAGACCTACATAAAGTAAGAAAAACAATATTCAGAGCAAAGAAGAGTATTTCATTGTGTTTATCTAATATTCAGAATAAAAAAGGATTTTATGAGTGCAGATGAAACTTGCTTATGTTGTTTTAGATAATCCTCAAGTCTGTAATTTATAATACGGCACAGTGGAAAGTTTAAACACAGGAAAAGGTAGAATTAAATTCCCACACCACCAGGACAATTAGTAACTTGGAAAAAGAAAAATTATATAACTTACCTCATTAATGATAAATAGCTTGTCTTTCCTGTCCATTTTGGTATCTATAACACAAATAGAAAGCATCTTTTAAGTTTATAAACTTCAATAATATAGAATTTTACAGATACTGAAGTTTCTCTCAAAAATTAATATTCAGAATGACAGCTTTGACACATTTAGTTTATAGGTGATGCTTATTTCAAGTTTTTCCATGTGTTTTTTTTCCTAATACCTCTATCTGCAAAAGTGGAACCTGTTTTGTATTCATATGTTGTTTAGCATACCATCTACTACTTACTTTTGTTAAGGACAGGAAAAAATCATAAGCTAACTGGCTTTAAGATGAGGCAACAATATGTATAATTGTATAACTACTGATTCACTCAGTTTTATTGCAACTCCAATATCTTTTCAGAAACTAATAATTCCTAGTGTACACATTTGTGCAGGCTTTCATAAATTGAAATAATAAGCACCTAATTAAAAAGACAGAGAGGTAATACAAGTAAAATCAGAACTACCTGCTTTAGAATGAGGCATTAATGTACGCAAATCCTTCATTAGATGCCTTGTCCTAAAATTTATTCCTCTGGAAGAAAAAATGAGGACCCTCTCTTTGTTCTTCCATTTACCCTGGAAAACAGAAACATTAGCATGACCTAGTTAAGAAGAAACTAAATTAAATCTTTTAACCAAGCAGTGGTTAAATACACTAACAGTAAATTGTTTCACGTGTAAGAAAACTGTGCAATATGACAAAGTATCTGGCAGAAGCTTCAAAATCTCAAACAGAGGCCCCCAATTTTATGATTTTTAAAAAAAACACCCAATAATTAAGTAGGATCAGGCCCTTAAACCTTGGCAACTTTTAAGGTAAGTGGAGTTCATGCTGACTGGGGAATTCTGGGAGTTGAAATCCACTTAACTTAAGGTTGAGAAACACTGCTCTAACCTTAGAAATACTTTTCAAAGCCAAAGTCCAAGACTCCTTAAGGCAGTGGTCTCCAACCTTGGCAACTTTAAGACTTGTGAACTTCCAACTCTGGGAGTTGAAGTCCACAGGTCTTAAAGTTGCCAAGATTGGAGACCACTGCCTTAAGGAAGCTTCCAATCACATGAAAATTTAATCTTTCTACTAAAGGAGGATACTCACCAATCCCTCCACAGTCTCCCAAGGCAGAACTATGGAAAGAACTACCTTGGTCAAAAACACCATCCCAAAAGGTAGAATATATCAGCATTAAAAGTCTTTCACTATGCAGGTAGTCCTCGAGTTACGACAATTGAGCCCAAATTTTATGTTGCTAAGTGAAACATTTGTTAACATTTGCCCCATTTTATGACTTTCCTTGCCACAGTTGTTAAGTGAAGCACTACAAGTTGTTGAGTCAGTAATCTGGTTGCTAAGTGAATCTGGATTCCCCACTGACTTTGCTTGTCGGCAAAAGCTGATCACACAATCCCAGGATACTGCAACCGTCATAAATATGAACCACTTGCCAAGCATCCGAATTTTGAGCATGTGGCCCTGGTGATGGTACAATGGTTGTAGGTGTGAAAAACAGTCGCCAGTCACTTTTTTTTAGTGCCATTGTAAATAGCATTCTGAACCGTCACTAAATGAACTGTTGCAAGTCAAGGACTACCTGTACAGCCAATTGAATTATCAACTCAAAGAACTTTTCAGTTTCTCACAGGGAAAATTACAGCTCACCTACAAGGCGCCCTCAGCTCACTTCCAAAGTTACAACCTTGATAAAATTCATTCAAAGCTCAACTCATTCAAATATTATTCAACAACAAATGTTAGATACCACCACCAGATGGATCTGTAGCTTCTCTGATAAAAGAGAAGTTACAGATCCAAGAGAAGCTACTACTCAATGAGTAGTCCTTAATGGTACTACGTACACATGGAGAGAAGTAAGTAGTGGGGGACCAGAAGACTCCATCTTGGGCCCAGCACTCTTCAATAGCTTCATAAATGATTTAGATGAGGGACCAGAAGGGGAACTCATCAAATTTGCAGAAGGGGTCAAATATTTCTCCAAAGCACCAGAAAGCAGGACAAGAAACAATGGTTGGAACCAAATAGGGAAGCAACCTAGAATTAAGGCGAAACTTCCTAACAGTGAGGACAATTAACCAGTGGAAGAGTTTTGCCTTTAAAAATTGTGGCTGCTTCATCACTGGAGGTTTTTAAGAAGAGTCTTTAGACCAGTGGTTCCCAAACTTGGCAACTTTAAGACTTGTGGACTTCAACTCCCAGAATTCAGCAGAGCTGGCTGGAGAATTCTGGGAGTTGAAGTCCANGATCAGCTGATCCAAAAAGGGCCAGAAGTTCTGTCTCCATTTCTGGCACACTCTTGCCAGCCCCAGCATCACTGTTTATGCAGCCGCCACTAAGAGAAGGGGCGTGGTAGCTAGGTTTTGTGGGAGCGGCCTCCGCGTGGCCCTTTTGCGTGGATGGCAGGTGCATGTGAGGCATGTTCACCCCTCCTTCGCCCCTTCCCCCCCAGGAAATGGCAGAGACTGGCTGCGCATGCATTTAAATATTTTAGGGGAGGGCTTATTTTCGGGGAAATTATAATGGCAGAAGAAGTAGTGGGAAACAGAAATTACTAAGGTTGATGAAATTGTAGGCCAGGATGGTTCAGGAACAAGATTCCTTGAATATTTGCAAACTCTTCTTGCTATTTAAAAAGAGGGAAAAAATAGGGTTTTTTAAACACTTTGCTAATTTTTTAATGGGCATAACGCATGTCACATGACTCTGCAAGATTTAAATTCATTTTGCTCCTTCAATCCTACTAATCCCATTCATCTTCCTTTCTCTTAAATATCTCTTTGCAACAGTTAGACAAAAATACTTTCAGACTTCGATGCCAGGCATAATTTTCCAGTAAATCTAGACACATTCTGAATTAGGTTGGCTCAATTTTGTCATATGCTGTGTTTGCATATGCGATATTGCTATTTTTGTTATTCAGTCTGGTATATCTTTTCTTCTTAAGATTATCTACTTTTGGGAATGCTGGAAGCACTCACCTGGATTACCCCAAAGATTCTGACCTTATTGAAGCGTTTCATTGTAATGAAACACAAACAAACAGGTGAGCTACACCAATGCATTTACCTTCAAAGTATTATGGTGACCATTTGTATCATACAGCTGTTAATATTTATTTATCCTAGACTGCATATCCATGGCCAGAAAGGTGACCAATATCGCTTAATTGGAATTTTTGTAGCAGGATTAGCAACGGTTTTTGGTATTGAATGCCACGCATGCCATCCTGCACAGTCAAAACATTTTTTTTTAAAGTCCCAAATCAGAAATGATATTGAGAAATCTAGCAAGTATGTCCAGTACTGTGATATTTTGTATATTTTTGAAAAGAGAAATGGAATATATGTACCTCAGGATTGATCTATGGAATCCTTGGTGCGCTCTGAACATTTCATTACCCAACTAGGGTAATGTATGAGTGATGTGGGGTTTGTTCCCTGATTATATATAGTAGCTTTTTCAGCCAGTTTTGGTTGGGAGCATGGTTTTCGGTGGAAGTGTGAATACATTCCACATGCTGGCTGGGGAATTCTGGGAGTTGAAGTCCACACAGCTTCATGATTGAGAAACACTGCGTTACAGGGAAGGCACAAAATCAGATAGGTGTGTCCTTCCAGGGTGAAGTTGTGTAAATGTGCTAATCACATTGGGCTCATTTTAAATGCTGGGTAAATTGCACTTGGATTGACAACAAAGCGTGGGGAGAAAGGATGACGTTTCACTTTTTGCTCCTAGTAATACTGTTTGTGCAGGATTGGGTTTTTTTTTTTAAACTCAGACAGTGGCAGCCACTTAGCTAAAGGTAAATGTTCCCCTCACACATACGTGCTAGCTGTTCCTGACTCTAGGGGGCAGTGCTCATTTCCGTTTCAAAGCCGAAGAGCCAGCGCTGTCCAAAGA